TAAATTGTGTATATGTCACCTACAAATGTTACTTCTACTAGAATATTGCATAGTCTTTTAGGAGAGCAGAAATTCATTATCCAAGTCAGGAATCACATCATCAAGCATGATCTTGGTTTTGTGTTTAAATCAATGGAAGTTGTGCTCTTTTTTTTTTTTTTTTTTCACTGAAAGAATAGCATAAAAAGAACAAAACTATCTTTGCCTTATTCCACAAAAAACAGTGGATAGATCCACTTGCAGTATTCTGGCATCCCCAAAGAAACCTGTCTGCATAGTTAACCCATGGAAGGTACATATTAAAATACCACACTAATGAAAAGTTACATCTTCCAGCTATTCATTCTCTATTAGCAAGGGCATCCTATCCTCCATCATTAAAAACAAGTCCAACTCCTGGTCATTAAGTTATGATATAAAATGCCCACCTCCCATGTAATATTTAAAACCTTTAAAAATCCACAAGGTTTAAGCCAGAAAAGCCAGAATTTTTCTAAAACCTGGTAGCGTTTGTGAGATTTAAAACCTGAATATAGATTAACTACATTTTCCTGAAGTAGCGGAGAATACACTGATCACCCCTGACCTCTCTCTTAGGTTGAGAGATACTTTAACAGTTTGTTCTAAGGACAGACAGAAGTGTACTTTTTTCAACTCTGAAAATATATGAAATATTCCCAGCCTCTCAGAGAATTCCCTGGATATTTTTGAGGATGCACACAGCTTTCACTAAAGGTGGAAAGTACAGATTGGAAACAGATGCGGCTCTTTTTTTTTTTTTTTTTTTTTTTTTTTTTTTTTTTTTTAATAAATTGATTGCTATCACAAATCCTACAATTTGGAACAATCAGGCTAAAAATAATATTCTCAATTATACCACTTCTACATCTTTATTTTTTATAATATCACAGTTTCATGAGTTCTGCAGCCACTGCAGTTTTCTGAGGAAATGGACAGAAAGCTTGACAGCTGTAGAGGGCTTACACTGAAAGCATTTAAAGACTCCTTCTTTAATCTGATTTTGGTGGAAATTAAGCTTTACTCATGTTCTATTTGTACTGAAATTAACAGGGTTTATCTCAAGGATGACTAAAACATCCCTGGGAGCTTGGAATCTGAGGGACAGGAAAGGAAAAAGGGAAAAGGAAAAAGGAAAAAGGAAAAAGGAAAAAGGAAAAAGGAAAAAGGAAAAAGGAAAAAGGAAAAAGGAAAAAGGAAAAAGGAAAAAGGAAAAAGGAAAAAGGAAAAAGGAAAAAGGAAAAAGGAAAAAGGGAGGAAAGGGCTATCTGTTTCTGTGACTGTGTATCACAATAAAATTTGTTGAGAATCCATCCAACCCCTAAATAAATGGGGTTTCCAGCAAGCCCTGGAGTATTTTCAGCCACTGAAAATCAGGCCACATGGTGGGATGTGGTTAATACCAGAACTGGAGTATCTAGCTTACCACAGGCTTTACCATAATTATGAGATTGTTTCCAGAAAGTCCCTTTTAACACTAAGTTACTTTAGAAATACTAATAAAGTTTAAATTTTATTTCAGATATCAAAATTCAGAGAATTCACTAACCTTTTGGAGTTAGTGAATAACAGCCTTCCACTGCTACCCTTTTCCCCCTTTCTTAAATAAGCGTATAGGTTAAGGAAATTCAAATAAACCTGATAGATTATGCCACCAGATACAGTTTCAGTGCCCCAGCCCAAGGTGTTTAGGGTAAAAACAGACTAAGACCCTCGAACTCAATAGAAACCACAAATTTAAAATTAAAGAATAAATATTGTGTTACACTCTCAGCTAAGAGCACACATGGAGATTAGAGAGGACTAATAGAGCATGACTGGCACTTTTGCAAACACAGGACTTCAAAGATAAATACACTGCCTACTAATGGCAAAAGGCAGACAGATGTGATGATAGAGGTAAAGCTTGCATTAAAAGCTTTTTTTTTTTTTTTTAACCCATGTTTAAAGTGGATATCCCTCTGTAATCATTAGCACTGGAAATGAATGTTTCAGACTGTTGTAGTAAGGGAAGATTTAAAAGAATCTGACACCAATATCTTCACTTGCTTTTAAAACTCTGAAATCATTAAATAACTTGACTGCTGTCTACTACTCTCCAATAGTGGTACATAAATCAGAATATTTTGATGCAAGACATCAGTTCTGGCCCCAAATTTGAGTCCTATGAGGGACTCAGTGCCTGCAGTCGTTAATGTGAAGGGAGTTTTGCCTTGACCAGATGATAAAACCTTAAGACTGTGAATATCTTAGAAAAATTTGTGCAGTCATTTCCATGGGTAAATCCCTTAAAAGCTCAGAAAATGGTATCAATTTTAAGATATCACGGGAAGCAGTATTTGTTTCCATCTGTGCAAGTAAAGCAATCCCTTCAACATGGAGACCACATGCTTTGTTAGGTAGGCTGGGAAAAGTTGACTCTTCAGGGAGGACTTGCATGGTGTCCATGTGTTCCTTTGGACAAGAAGTTTTGGGAAGAGGCTTAGATGGAGAGATGAATAGGGGCTGTTGTGACACAGGCCTTCCAGTTCCTTCATAATGAGACAACAGAGCCTGCCCTATTTCTAAAATGCAATTATATACCTGCAGCCTGAGGCACGTAGAAAGAGTCTGATAACACTTTTACTACAAGGAACAAGTGCAGAGCACTTTCAGATAGCCTGATAAAAGCTTTTACTTCATATATTTACTTAATATATTACACATTTTGGAGGAGGATATAAAATATGGAAGGATGCGAGAATTAGGCCAGAACATAACATCAGCAAAGAAAATAAGGTCCAGAAGAACGGTTAGGAACAGAAGAATAAGGAACAGAAGAACTTTTGCTGTCCTGATGTGCTTTATCACTCAGTTGGTCACTCATTTTCATCTCTAATATGTTCCATGACTGCAAACACTGCAGCAATTGCAGCAAACACCATAAAGAAAGGCAGCATTAGCTACCTTTGATCCAATATCAACACTAGAAGAGTAGGCAGCAAGTGGCTAACCAGTTCTAGAAAGTTCTTAGCTGCTGGTTCACAGGGCAGTTTTTTCACTTCTAAGTTGTATCAACAAGTTGGAATTTGACAGGCTTTTTATTTCTGGTGTTGTTGCTGCTCCATAATCTGGAAAAACTTCTCTGCTTCACAATCTATGGAAACCTTGGCTTAGTATTTCCCTATTTCACAGAACGAGTATGAACACTAACCACTGTTGGAATCTGAGGTATAGATGATTCCAAGATTGTAGAAAGTCTCTGTCTTTCAGCCCCATTGCCAAAGAAGAAGCCATAATTAGTCTGTGCTGTTTTCAAGGTTGTTTATTCTGTTTATCTCTAACATGTTCTGCTGCCCTGCCTCAGGTCTGTCCTGCAGGGCAGCGTGTGAGGCTCTGCCCCCAGTGGGATGTTACAAACATTATACACCAGAAACTACCTGTGCTATATTTACAATAATGTGCCAATATCTGTCACCTACGTTGAACAGTGTGCCCCCAGCCTAAACCAATAGAAAAATGCCAACATTACAGTGAAACATGGAGGGCATGAAGAAGAAGAAAAAGGACAAGACACACCCAATTTCTTCCATCTTGTCCCCTTTGGACCCCTAATCTAGAATCCTGAAATTTTACTTTTGCACCCGTGCAACACTTAATTATTACTTATATCAAACACCCAGAGCTTGTAATTCATCCTGTAAGATTGAAAACTCTTTTCCATGGACAGATATCAGAGACAGTGTCTCTCGGGGCTCTGTATAGGGGGGGTTCCTGACCCCCTGCCAGGGACCCAGACCTTCCAGGGCAACCAGAGGGAAGCTCCGGATTCCCACAAACCACCATAAAATATTTCATATTAAAACTGCTTTTAAGAAAAAGTGTCTGAATTATTATAATGTGATGATAATTTAGTTGCACAATTGATTTGATGCTGGGCTTCCAAAATTATTTCAAAGGTATTACTTTGCCTTTCATCCTGTTTCTCCAAAAACATATTCTTGAGAATAATTAGTCATAGAATTATGTGGCAATCTTGGTCTTCTTTCTCCATAAGGTTTTCTGTTTCCTTTGCTTCAAACTGTCCTTTCCCTGCTTCCCCTCCACCAACTCATGGCTCATGAATCGATCAGGTCAACCACATAACTTTTCATCCAAATCAGACACATTCAGTAAAATAACTAGTTAAGATACAAAAGCGAATATCTGTATAGAGCTAATCTTTTGAAATAAAACTCCAGCTATGCAACACAATGTTTTCCTGATCTGAGATACTCCAGGATACATAATTCCTTTTGAAAGAGTATGCATTATGATTTATTTCCATTCCTCTGCAGTACAGAGAAGCCTGTGTTTCCAGTTTCTAGACACACAGCTGTGCAGAGGCAAGAAAATTACAAACAATGCTCTTTCAAATATTCTCACCCAGACTTATTTTTATGAATACTTTAGGATGTGAGGAAAAATATTTGCAATGCTGCATTAAACATATGTGAATTAACTAAGAATAAAGATCAGTGGTTAATAAAGTACAAAGGGTGACAGAAGCAGAGTGAAACAACTTTTAATCTGCTTTTATGTTCAACTAGGGTTTATGTAGGTCAATGCAAACCTTGCAAATTCCCCTCTGGCACATCGTTTGTAGAAATCTCTCTTTAAAATTTCATCAAAGAAAGGAAAAGTTGGGATGGTGTCCCTTTCTGTAACAAAGTCACTGCTTGCCACAGATTATTTACACATCTTGCTCATAATACTACTTCTGAAGAGAAAGTGTTTCATCTCTGAGATAGACTAAATGTTTCCTGATGGCCAGGGTCCAAAACAACACAGGATGGAACAGAGCTTACAACCATATCCTCCCATTCTTGTAACATTCAAATTTCCTCAGCAAGTTTTTCAGGAATAAGATAATGTTAGGGTCCAGCAGGGACACCAACAATACTTTTGACTAAATACTGCTCTTTTGTTCAGTGTGAGAAACAAAAACACATTCAGTCTAGAACTCATTGTTCCAATGAGCACACAGATATATTTTGGGTGTTTTGTTTTCAATTTCCAAAATTGTCAATATTGTCTACAGATGTTCACAAACATCAATGTTTCATTTCAGCACAATGGGATGAAACACTGGACATAAGGATGCTTCATGCTGGGATCAGTCTAGAAAGGCTGGGGAAATGGCTTCCAGACCAAAAGGCTCTTACTGCCCTCTGAATCAAACAGTCAGTCTTCAGCACTTCATTCCCCATGGAAGCACAGCAGGGGAAAATGACTCAGACAGGGAGGGACTGGGGAGTGTGATCCACTTCTCAAACAGCTCTGTGGGGCAGAAAAATGAAAGGCCATGAATCCTGGTTTAAATCCTCCATTCTCTTATTTTACAGAATGTGCACATTTAAGAATCAAAAGGGAAAGGCAGACTTTTGGCTTGTAGAATTCATGATAACATAAGGCAATGGCAGTTTTCATCCACAGTACTTAAAAAGCAGAACTGTAACTTTTACATCACACATAGGAAAGGGAGAAGCGTGCCTTGAACTTTGATCTCTTAAAAATACATCAGATTCCACCTCATCTTTCCCCATATAGCAGTTAATAAGCTTGTACTTTAACTCTGATTTGCAATCCAGCCCAAAAGGGGGGATAACTCTTCACAGAGCAGAAAAGAGTTGAGAAATTTCAACATGTAACACCAAGGAAAGACAGGCAGCAATGTTCAGCATGTACCACTGAATTGGCCACAGGATTTCATTGCTTTTTTCTTGTTGTGAACAATAGTGACCATTTCTATTTACTTCCAGCATGTCACTCTTCATGGGAATAGACCTGCATGTCATCCTTACCATACAGATATAGAATGGATTTATGCTGCAATGTAACAATTCCTTTCATTACATTCTATTATTGTCCTAGCAATTCCATTATTCCTAGCACTTGCTATTTTAATCTGCACTAAGCATTGCACTAACAATACCACAGAACCTTCTCTTTACACATCCACAATCTGAGCAAAAAGATAAATAGATTTAAAAAGCCAATGCTGCCTTTTCTTCAAGGCAAGTCAGTCTACATTACTGACATATCATTTACTGCTTCACCTGTCAGCTACTGAATATCACGAGATATTCTGCAGATATGAAGCAAAATGTTTACTTTCTGTGGTGTTACTCTAAGTAATTCCTTAATTCTAAGTCATCAGCAAACTTTCTCACATAATTTTGTACCCCCATTTGGGAATTTTATGATAACATTGAAATACATAGGCCAGGTACAAATTCCTAGGAAATACCACTGCTGAATCCCCCTGCCATTAGTCCAAAGTTTATAGAAAATAATAGTAAATAGACTTACCCAAACCCTTAAACATCACAAGAATAAGCCCCCCATGCTGACTGCCCCTTTTTGCCCATCAGTAACTGGGTGATAATTATGTGCATACAGATATGAAAAGAAAGGAGCTGGTATAATTTTAAAAGACAGACATTTTTAAAAATTACTACCACAATCTTGTAAATATTGGTGGATTTTTAGCCTCTGCCAAATATTTAGATGCTACTTGTCTGCTTTTTGATGAGAGGGGCATTTATAAACTGTAGAGAAGTTGAAAAAAAGAAGTAATAAAATATTGATTTGCATGAGAAATCACACGAAAACTGCATCAGGAATCAAGTGCCCCATTCTCCTTTAATGAGACCTTTATGTTATTTCTTGTTGCCTGTGAGATTTGTGTGATATATATGCACTGTATGCCTGTTACCACAAGCCTTTTCATTCTACTTCTAAGAAATATTTCCATTAATGGAAATGGGAGGGCAAAAAAAATGCTGTGATACACTTCCTGCTGCAACCACAGGAAAAACTTCCTGTTTTTCTTGCTGTTTGTTACTATCTCATTTTCAATGCACCCTCTCTTCAGTCAAAAGTACCAAAATTGATCAAAATAACTTAGATGTCTTACCTCCTTCTTACACAAAGTATCACTCCTCTTCTGCCCTCTTTTTGTGACTTTTTCATGTGGCTTCAAGTCTGAAATTATCCTCATGTCCTGTACCAGGACAACTATTCTATGCCTTCAGAACAGTTCTCCCTCTACTTAACTCTATACTTCCAAATATATTATGGGTCTCACCTCAGTTCTAACTCTAATTCTCAGTTCCCTCTTATTTTGGAGGGAACATCATGCCTGTTTCTCTGAACATATGTCCTTCTGTGTTTCTAAAGGAAAATTTTCAGGCATGATTTGCTCTGATGAAGCCAGGTTTGGCCATCACCAATCACCTCCTAATCTTCCACGTGCCTTAGCATAGTTTAAGCATTTCCACTGTCAGAGGGGTCATTGACACAGCCCCAGAGAGCTGGGGATGTACCTACCCAGAGGTTTTCCACCCTTCACTTAAAGGAGTTTCCAGCCTGACATGAAACAACCATGTAAGTATCTGGAGAGAAAAAAATAAGTAGCACAACTAACTAAGCTATGGTATTTATCAGGTTGTGATTGAGAGAGGGTCAAAACAACCCTGAAATAGTCAAAGCCGTGATGGAAACCTTCTCCACTCCAAGCAGCAGGCTTGACAACAGTATGGGGCCTGTGAGAAGAAAACAAAAATTATCACCTTCCAGCTGTTGTTTATTTGTTTCTGAAGTTACAAAGTCATAGAATTTTAAAAAAACCCTCAAAACCTTACACATTCTTTCAAATCCATATTTACTCTCCTCCAGCATAAAACAAATATCCCTTGTCCTATGACTACCTGCACTTGTAAAAAATCCCTCTCCAGATTTTCTGTAGGCCCTTTAGGTACCTGAAGGTATGCTAAAATCTCCATGGAGCCTTCTCTTCTCCAGGCTGAGCAATCCCAGCCATTTTAGAGGAGACAGCTAGCTGGAAAACAGTTGCAGCTCCAGGAAAACCAACTCACAGCTGCCCTACCCTCTGCCTGGACATGAACACATGTGCACCACACCAACCCTTTGCACACCTGCACTGCAGTGGCCATGTGCGCTTGTTGAAAATGACACAAATTTTCTAATCAGTTTTTAATTAATTGTTTTAATCAGTCATAATCAGTATATTAATTATGAGCAGCATGCTAGTCTTAAATCACTTTTAGCCACCCTGATATGCTTCATTAAACAAGGCCTGGGACAGAGTGAAGGATTGTTGAAATTGGATACAATCACAGAACCACAAAATAAACTGAGTTGGAAGGGACCCACCAGGATCATGGAGTTCAACTCCTGGCCCTGCACAGCACCAAACCCAGGAGTCATACCATGTGCCTGAGAGCATTGTCCAAATGCTTCTTGAACTCTGCCAGGCTCAGTGCTGTGACCAGAAGAACTGAATTTATAGACTACACAGATGATTTGCAGAAATCAGAGCATAAAGAAAATGTAACAAAGACTCGGTATATGTGTGTTGGAAAGTCCCTAATGGAGGAAAAAGATATCAACAAAAAAAGACTAAAAATATGGACTAATTAGCATGAGCAGTGAAAAATCAATACCCAACAGAGGATAGAATACTAATGAAGGATTTGTCTTGCTGAGCACAGAGCACATTGCACAGGAGATTCGTTCTCCTGTCCATGCCAAACCCACCTGGATACCATGGGGAGCTTTGTCACAGGCCTTGCTAAAGTCACAGTAAATGGTTCTCACTGCTCTTCCCTTGGCCCACGAGGACACTCCCCTCCTCCAGGCAAGGCTCCTGTTGGTCCCACCACAGCTTGTCCTCACAGATGATGGATATCACCTTGTCCTTCTCGTGCCTCCAAGCCACCTTCTGGCAGCTGTCTGAGAAGGGCAGGCTCTCCTTGGAAACTTGTGGGAAGGCTCCAGTACAGGCACTGCCTCTGGTTCCTCCTACAAAGCAGGAAGGGGTAAACAGGAGGCCACAAAAGCAGACAGAAGCTTTGTTCTTCATAGGAACAGAGAGTGAGGGCACACTTGGTGCGTTGTTGAGGGGACCCCACAGGATGAGGAGGCTCCTGAGGGGAGATGGGGAACGGTCCCTGTGCCCAAGGGACAGCCTTCCATGAAAATGAGCCCCAGGAGAGGGGCCCTCAGCCCCCATCAACCTCCCCCTTCTCCCACATCTGGGCACAGACTAGAGAGGAACGCTAAGCCACCACAAAACTCTGCTTCTGCAGTGAACTGTAGTGTAGGAAAATGGTTTTCTAATCTGGAGCAGTATCTCCATGAGAGAAAGGGAAAGCTCCAAGTGGTGTCAGCCCTATTGCTTTAACAGCTTTGTAACCACAGATGTCACCATAGAAAGCTTACATCCCCATTTTATTTTCACCTGCAGAAGCTGCAGTTTCAACCACCACTTTGCCCTCATTATAATTAACCCTCAGCCCCGCGGCGGTTTTGAGTTTCTTCCCTTGGCTTAGCAAATCCCTCAATAATTTATTTTTATCTCTGATTTGCTTAAACTATTGCAATAGCTTATTTAAAAAAAAAAAACAAACCAAACCTTACCTTGTACATACTTATCTTGTAAATCAGAATAACAGAAATACAATGCACAGTGTTAAAAGATTTTCAGTGATTTGTACATGTTAGTACATTTCTTTAAATATGAGTATAGGCTTACAGTATTGGAACATCATAAGAGGTTACAAGTAGAATTTACGCTCATTCCAGAAATCACTATTTCATACAAAGTACAGTGCATTTTCTGTAACAGCCAGTGCTTACCTGTCCACTAAAAATAAATTGTACTTTTTGAGCCCTTTTAGTGATGAATAACTGCCTAATGCCCAGAGAAAACAACAGCCAAAACCCCGCCAGGTACCGCACTTCTAAACTGAGAATGGAAATCCACAGATCAAACCCCAAGCTTACGCCAAGCATTAACAAACACGAAGGTAAAATATAGAATATTATTTCCTTAACTGATAAATCTGCACTGGGGCCAAGACTTTTCCTCTAAGGGGACGGGAAAACCAGGTCTGAACGCAGCTAAAGCTCAAACGAGCGCAAAGAATTAGGAACGAGAAGGAGCATCCCTGGGGAAGGATGAACACATTTTCACACTCCCACGCGGCAGCTCACGACCGGACACGGAGCAGTGCCCGGTGTAGCAAAGAGCTGTGCAGAGGATGCCGCGGGAGACGAGGAGCGAGATGTCACCGGGGCACGGAGCGCAGGGCGGAGCAGCCGCAGCCGCTGCCGCCCTCACGCCGCGCCCGCCCCGCCCCGCGGGGCCGCCACGTTCCCCGCTCGGCGGCGCGCGCGTCACGGCGGGGCGGGGCCCGCGCCGCCCAATCGGGGCGCTCCGCGACGGCCGCCGCGGGTCGGCGCCGGCCAATGGGCGCGCGCCGCGGGGCGGGCGCTGTGCCCATGGCAACGGGCGCGGGGCTGTCGCACCGAGCCGCGCCGAGCGCCGCCGGAGCCGCAGCGCGCCCGCCGGAGCGCCCGCCTCGTACCCGCCATCAGCGCGCAGCTTGAGCTGCCCTTGAGAAGCAGCGGCGGCTCCTCTCCTGCCGCAGCGGGACCCAAAGGTAGCGCCGCCCGTACCAGTGCCCCCGGCGGCGGTGCGGGCGGAGGCCTGGCGGCGGGGCAGCCGCCGTCAGGGTCGCGGCGGGACGCGGGGGTCGCAGCGCGCTGCCGCCGGCCAGGCTGGGGCGCGGGGGGGTGGCGGTGGAATGGCGGGGCCGGGGCCGCCGGGCAGAGCGGGGCGCAGCTGAAGTTTTCCCGGAGCGCCCTGGCGGCCGCCGGGAAGGCGGCTCCGGGTGTGGGGGTGTGTGGGTCCGTGTCCCCTCCATTGGTCCCCCTCGGGCCGCGGCTGTGCGGGAGGTGACGGCGGAGCGCCGGCAGAAAGGAAAGCGGAGCTGGCAGCGGCGGCAGCTGCAGCAGCGGCAGAAATGTTGAGTGGCTCGTAATTGCACAACCGCAGGGAAAACTTGGGCGGGAGACTCGACGGGTTTCACTTAGAGAGGGCACAGCTCTTCAGCATTGCTGTCTAGAGTCGAAGAACGCTTTGGGTTGGAAGGACCTTGAAGATCATCTCCTTCCAATCCTGTGCTATGAGCAGGGACACCTTCCACTCTCCCAGGCTGCTCAGAGCCCCATCCAACCTCACCTTGGATACTGCCAGGGATGGGGCATGCACAGCTTCTCTGGGCAGCCTGTGCCAGTGCTTCACCACCCTCACAGTAGAAAACAATTCCTACTATCTAATTAAACCTACTCTTTTTTCAATTTAAAGCTAGTCCTCCTTGTGCTGTTACTACATGCTCTTTCAAATAGTCGCCCTTCATCTTTCCTGAAGGCTGCTTTTGGGTAGTAAAAAGCTGCCATTAGGTCACCCTGAAGCCTCTTTTCCAAGCTGAACAATCCCAACTCTCCCAGCCTTTCCTTGTAGGAGAGGTGCTCTGATCAACTTGGTGGCCTCCTCTGGACTGACTCCAGCAGGTTGCTGTCCTTCCTGTGCTGGGGTCCCAGAGTTGACCACATCTCACCATGCTGTTACTCTGCCACCCCTGGAAGAGGTCTGGAAGGTATTCCAGTGCCAGGCTGGCCACTGCACTCAGATAATTCCAAAAGTGGAAAAGGTTGAGGTATGGCTGTAGAGAGGTAATGTTTTCTGCTGAAATGAAAATGGCTAAGGCTTTCAAAAGAGTCTGCATTTGGCAACAAACATTATTTAGTAAGCCCACAGGAGAAAAAAACAATACTTTGTTGTTTGACTTACAAGTATTTGCTATGGAAAGATAACATCCAGTAGTTCCAACATGAAACCATCATAGCATCAACAGTGGTGTGTCTGTGCACTTACAGTATCAAGTTCAGTGTGGAAGTTTGTGGTTTTGTGTAATTTTGTTTTCTCTCAGTGTCAAGAAAAGTCCTATAGCTGACTCAATATTGATGCACCTCTACTCTGAATTCTGGTGACTGTCCCTCTTGACCAAGCAAAGCAGCACAGGGAAGATTCCTATTGTAGAGACTGGAAAGGAGCCACTCAAAGACTTTGAAACCTTTGTGGACCTCAGCTTAAACTCACAGAAAGTTTATGGGAGAAGCCCACATTTCTGTGAGCACTTAAGATCCTGTTTTGTTTCTCACTGTCAGTTACTACACAATGATCTTGCACAGTCACAGTCAGTGTTACATCCTCTAACCTGGTTACATAAAGTGCCTCCTAAGTGTCATCATCTATTCTCCCCTTCACTTGCCTCTGAAGTCTCTAGGATGGTAGCAGTATTTTGTTTCAGAATAAGTAAGATAATTATGCTAAAAAAAAACCCCATAGGTTTAAACAAATTGTGTTGATGTAGAGCAATGTGAATCTTACTCACTTCTAACCAAGACAAACAAAGAAAAGGGGGAAATGAAATTATAAATTTATATTGCTTGTTGGGTCTGCTTAAAACTTACATTACAATTGGATGCAAAGGCATCTGATATTGAGTTTGTTATTATACTGCCTGAGCTACCATTATTTGGTGTCTGAAATTGTATTCAGAAAACCCCACTGGGCAAATAAAACCCAACAACAACAACAATAATTATTTTTTAATAACACTAAGGCAGAGTTTTCATACCTTGGCTGTGCAGTACTAGTAGTGCTGCTGACATAAACTTTCTCTTCATACAAGCCAAATTAAAGATTTCCTGTCAAAACCTGCCTCCCTCCTGCCATACATACCTAACTGAAATTGCAGCCATGAAAGGGGAGAACAGTAGTTCTCTCAGGTAATAAAAAATGTAGAATATATTGACTTAACTGTCAGAGGTGTGGAAATATTGACACAGTAGTTTCAGAGCTGTGCTGACTAAATAAATGCACTTTACATAAGAAAGATAAAATCATTTACTGTTAAGTTTGAAGCTGCTATCAGGGCTTTCTATGACTTGAACTCTTGTGTGGAGGTGTTTGATCTAGTGGGGTATTGTGCTCTCACTATTGATTGCTCAGTAAGCAGAAAAGATTCCTCTCAAGTTGCTGTCAGGTACCTGGCAGACAGGAGCCTTTTGCATAGGGGTGAGCTTTTATGTAGATAAAGGCATGACCAGGTGCTAATGCTAAACCAAATGAAATCAGTCGAAAGTCGTGTTACTTTCAATAGTTTTTGCTCTTCTATGTGTGATTTGACAGTTGGAAGAGCAAAAAAACCTGTATTTCATTAGAACCGTTTTAATCATACTCAGTTGTAAATATTATTCTTCATCATAGGTAACTCAAGAGAACTGTAGATCCTTTTCATGACTGCATTTCTCCTGCTAGTCATTATAAAAATAGAATGGGATGTTGATATGTGTTTTTGTTTCTCAGCAAGTAGAAATCAATGGGAATTAGCAAATTGTGAACATAAATCTCCTTAGGCAGCGGTCTTTAAGTGCCTAAATATTTTTAAATCTGGCTCCACATCATTAGATCTAGATTTAGTCTAGATGTATTTTTTTTTCAAAGGGGAAAAAGGTACCTTGGACTCCTGGGGCATTCAAGGCTTACTTTAGCATCATCACTTGTTGTTGACTAGAGCAAAATGCATATTGTTAGAATAATGGAAATACTTTATGGTTTGAGTTTAAGCTAATTCATTGCTTGCGTGTAGTAGTGCATTTGAGGTTGCTTTTTATGTCAACGCTGACAATATTGCCATTTGCATTTATGAAAAATGAATTTATGAGACTTCAAGTGTACTGTTGTATTATGTTCTGTGTGGGAACTGAAATTAGAGTGCAGGAAGCTATAGCTGTAGCAGTAATTTTTTTTTAATTTCCTTTTGAGCCTGATAAGATTTTTAGAAAGTACACATTGAATTCAGTACAAGTTTTTGCTTGACTATTGGCTTCATATATATTTTTCTGAGGCAACCTTGTTGGAAAGAATTAATAAAACCAAGCAAGTTGTTTTGAAAAACAAGGCTCATATGTCAACATTCTTCAGTTAGTAAGGTAGCTTTGTAGACAGAGGTTTTTATTTTTTTGAAGCAAGGACAGGGAAGTTCCTTGGAGGCAGGTAATAATATAAATATGTATATGTATTTGTGTGTACAGACAGGTTTTTAAATTATGAACCATTAGCATTGCAACAAGAAGAAAAGTCTTCAGACTTCACTTAGGACACAGCTAAGCACGTGTGTAGCTTCAGCCATACAATTTGTATCTATGCCATCTTTCTTTCTGGACATAGTTGTATTATGATATTGTCCTATACTGTGTGTGGTTTGAACATTAAATTGCTCTTTCCCACTTGAGCATTCATCATTTGTGTTACTATTGGATGACTCATTTAATAAAACAGCTGAAGTGCATTTTTTAAAAGGAGGTTCTTTCAGCAAATGTTGTACTAGGCACAGTCGAGGCATGCTGTGTTTTCTGGGAAGCTGAAAAAAGCAGCTGCTCCATCAGCCAGCTTTTAGTTGTAAAGAGAATTAAGCAGCTCGGGTGCAGTGAAAAGGTAACGAATACAACTCAAAAGAATTTAAGGCAAGTAAACAGGATGGGGTAAAAGGATTCTGCTGCCTTTATGTACTCAAATAATACTGTTTAATAATTCCATGTAAGATTAAAATGCTTCTTGAAAAAATAAGGAAGGTCTCCTGGTGCAGAGAACTGAGTGGGATGTGCTCTAACAAAAGATTAGGACATCATGGCCAGTGTGAAACCCGTTGGATATTGGCCAGGAAAAAAAAGCAACATCTGAATCATACAGTTAGTCAACAGCATTGACAGAAGAGAAAAGAAAACTACCTGAAGGATAATGAAACTTCATATATATATAATTATATAGCAATAATAGCTGGCTTATAATAGTTAATAGCTTGCACATTAACTTCTAAAGGGATCAGTTTTCATTTGGGAAGGGAAAGGTGTAGGTATTTTTGTGTTTGGAACATTCACTTGTATGGGGAAAACTATTGCAGCTTGTAACCATTTCTCTTTGCATGTCATTTCCTGCTGGTGTCTTCAAGGGGCAAACCCAGTGTGGGGGACTGGTGGCCAAGTGTAGAGACAGCCTCACCACAGCCAGAGGTTTATAGCTTAACAGAGTGAGTGCAAACAGGTTTTTCCACTTGTTTCTCAAAATTGCTGCCACATGTCAGCTGTGCTTATGCCAGATTAACTCATTGGACTAACAGTGTGAAGAAGATGCATTAACTCTTGATTTATGGAATTTCATACCCTACTTAAGGTATGATAGCTTAGGGTGTCGGTGCAGCAAATGCTCCTGAAAAAGAATGGGAGGAACTAACA